TGGTCCCATCTTTGGTGGTCCCATCTTTGGTGGTCCCATCTTTGGTGGTCCCATCTTTGGTCCCATCTTTGGTGGTCCCTTCTTTGGTCCCATCTTTGGTCCCATCTTTGGTGGTCCCATCTTTGGTGGTCCCATCTTTGGTGGTCCCATCTTTGGTCCCATATTCATGACAGGTGCAGAACAGCAAGACATCAGCTAAGTGTCTGGGGAGAGGTATGGAAAGATGAAAGTCTTGTAACAAACTGCCGTTTTCCCCTAAAAACAACGCACCGTGATCGTGACTGCAGCGGACCGGAACAGTAGCTTCTATACAGTCATGATCAGGCTGAGGTGTTCAGGGAAATACGGTAGAGACTTGTGGGCTCAGTGGTCCCAAAATGTGAATCACCTCAACTTTCTGTTTCCGGTTTCCATTTAGGGAAAGATGACGGTCCTCAAACGGTCCAAACAGTCACATGTTCATTTTTTTATTTTATTTTTAATGAGTAGTAACCAGCAGACCAATAGCGGCACGACAACGACTCATCATCATCCGTCAGGAAAAAAACACATCCATCAGCAGACCATAGCAGCATGCAAAGACTCATAGTTCATCCATCACAAAAAACACATCCATCAGCAGATCAATAGCAGCATGACAAAGACTCATCATTCGTCCGTCAAAAAAAAGCTTAAAAAACGCATCCATCAGTTTTCACTTGCTTTGTTTCACCCTTTGAAAACCACCTTTCATTAAATCATCTTTCCTCCTTTGGAATCCTTTCATTATATCCTGCACTCATTCCCCTTTCCTTCCCTTTTTTTCCTTCACTATTTTTGTTCTTTTTTCTGGGACCCCCAGGTGCCACGCCCGCGGTAGCCGGGCACGGGAGCGAAGTGTGCGGTGATTGCCAGCGTCCGTGTGGTGTTGTGTGTGGTGTGTGTTGAGTGTGGACACTACAGCCTTGCAGGTGTGGGGCGGATATCACGGGCGGCATGGTTCCGCTTTTGAACACCGTGTCCTGGCTGTAGAGGTTACGACTTGGCTCTTGAGGATGAGGTCACCGGTTCGATTCCGTGTTTGCACGGAGGAGGGCTGAGGCCCAGAGGTACTGATCCAACGATATGGGAAAGATGCCATCATTTTTTTTTTCTTCTTCTTTTTGTTTTTGGCCGTGGGCAGGGTAGTCACGGCGACGGTCGGCGGCCCCAGACCCCTAGGCTGCCGACCTGCCGACGGTAGGCGCCGTCGGCGCCTACCAGTAGGTACCCCGCAATTTTTTTTATTCTTTTTTTGGGTCCAGAACCCCAAATAACCCCACCCACACCCACATAGCCTCCTCCAACACCCCCATACACCCCCCCAACACCCCCATACC